TCAAATCAGCTGTGTGTCATTTAATGCCATTCATGTCTGCAGGTCAATCTTCTCTGTCTTGAAAGTAGGTATGACACTTTCCAAACCTAGCTCTTCCAGAATGATGTTTATTGTTTCCGCCATTTTCATACAAAAATACCGGGTGCGTCTAAAAACATGCTTCGGTACCGGTCTTCGGTTCCGGAGTAGGTAAGGAAAATTTTCTACAGCATGCGAATCAAGTGGAATAACATAACGGAATTCTGTAGAGACAATACGTACAACCAAACTTGACAGAAGATAATATATGAGAGCTCTTCAATAAAGTATTTATTTTAACTTATGGTTTGTCTTTAAAAGAGGCAACTTGATGGAACAAAAGATGCCGAAATGGTCATACAGCCCATTAAAATTAATTTCTGTATGATGTATATATGCTTCACTGTCTCATGTGCATTTATTCCATATCCTTGCATTTTTATTTAGCCGGAATAATGCATGGGAGATCAATAACAAAGTGACTTGACTGCCTTTAGTCAGAGACATATTATTTTTATGTCTCTGCTTTAGTTAACCTTAAACATTGTGGTCTGTCAAAAAACGTGACCGCTGGAGACATCTCTCTTTTTTTCTTTTTTCTTTGAGGAGGGGGGGGGGGGGGTCCAACCTACTTTTTTTCAAATTAACTGAAACTTAAAAAAAAATAATATCTATACTGAATCTATATGGAAAAATAGGTATTTTGCGATTTGTTTTAAAGCCAAACCATAGTTTAAAAAAATCTAAGCAGTTAACTTTTAGAAAATGGTTTTAAAAAAGAAAAATATGGGTGATTGTTTTGTTTTCTCAATAGTTATTACTTATAGTGACGTCTCTGTAAAATATCTTATTTGATTATCTCCCACTTTTAAAAATATTTTCAAAACATTTCACAATAAAAATGTCATACGGCCTTCCAAGAGCAAACTGCAGGTAAATGAAATAAAATATCATCCATTCTTTGTGACTTTTGTAAAATAATTAAAATGTTTTTCAATATATTATATTTTATGTTGCTTTTAATAATAAACATTACCAAATGATATGAAAATGTAAAATCTAAATTGCAGAAGACATCCGAGCTACTCTAAAATGACAAAGCAAAGTATAATGTTAAAGTACCATCATATAATGTCAAAGTACCATCGTATAATGTCAAAGTACCATCATATAATGTCAAAGTATCATCGTATAATGTCAAAGTACCATCGTATAATGTCAAAAGTACCATCGTATAATGTCAAAGTACCATCATATAATGTCAAAGTACTATCGTATAATGTCAAAGTACCATCATATAATGAAAGTTTTTAACACAGGGCAGTTACGGCGTTCCATATGGCTAGATAACATTTATGCACATATTTGTTGATATGGATGGCCATTCAGGCCAATTCGAATACATGATTGATTGATTGATTGTTGGTTGCTTAACGTCCAGTGGCAAATATTTCATGCATGTTCAGGACGAGAACAAGTTAACAGTAAATACAATAGGTAGGTCTTGTCATTATAGAGGCTATTCGGGATGATGGTCGGGGAAATTTGAATTGCCACTGGAAAATGAGGGTATATTGGATAGGGACAGAAATTTTGCCTTGCAACAGGCCACCTACGGACCCCTCAGAGAGTTATTGCAAGGGTTCTTAACGTGCAAAGAGCGTGGCACTCTCTTAACACGAGGCATCGGATTTAACGTCCCCATTCTGACCGGACGTGACTGCGAACTTGATACATCCCGCACAGCCAAACGGACGCCCCACTTCGGCAAGCGTTTTACTGCCGGTCGGGAGAAGACCAAGTGACCATATTTCGTTTCCCCAGTCACCCTTGGGGGTTCCAATACACGAGATGTTGGGTATATGATAAAGAGACAGCAGCCCCAAAACCAAAATAAATAAAAGGCATAATTGAATTTTGACTAACCATGCTAACAGGCACAATTTATAGAAAAGCTGAGTTCACATATGTGTGCGTTTGTGTGTGTATGTATGTGTGTACGACACACTTGTGTGTTGATAAAATTTAACTACTTGATAGAAAAACATATGCACTCCCCGATTTCTTCTGTTTCTATCACAGTTCTTCTGATTTTTGATAAGCTTTTGCTGGAAATGTTTACATGCTCCTAAAAGCGCACAGCTCTTGGGAAGTCCTGTTCCTTAATCCTGTCATTCGCTGTAAGATAACCAATGAAATGTCTCGATGAACTCAGATAAGACCTTAGGGTCCCGGCAGATTAAATGTCTGGATGATCTGACATCCACACATTCAAGCAGGTTGGTTCTAAGACTGCTGGGATATTCAAGCTCGCCTTGGAAGGTTCAATGAAGCTCCTGGGGTAGCACCACAACTGCCCCTCCTAGGGCCATGAAAAAGAGTTCAATATTTTCCCAATTTTTTCAGCATTTCATGTCACCCTGTTGTTTTAATATTGTGTTTACAATTTATGTGGTTCCTACCTTTGCTCCACTTAACTATCGAAAGGATTGGATTGTCTATAAATTTGATCTCTGCACCTTTTTATTTTCTTACTATTTTAGGGCTCTACTATGTTATTCACAGATTTATTACTGTTGTGTTTCAGGTTTATAAATTTACCCCTTTTCTCCGTAAGATCGCAAGTTCCTGTCCATAGATATATGATTACATAATGATATCTACTAGTATCTTTGTTTTTTTTCATCTGACACGTACAGTTATACCCTAAAATATTCATAGGGTGGAGCTGCAGTTATGTTTTTCAAGGTAAAATTAATTATATCTTAGGGGTTGAAAAATGCTTTGGTCAGATCTTTGGGGTGCTTTTTTTTTACCTTTGTTCTCCTTAGTCTGCTATATGCAGCGACACAGTGTACAACGTGCACGTGGGAAAGTTTTCGGAAACTGTCGGTGTCGATATTGATTGTTGTTACGTGCTTGCCTAAAAGAATGCAATATAACTCATCATCGTCGTAAGAGTAAAATTCCACAAATAATGGAAATTTTTCAATTATGAATCCCATCACACATCTCTGATTGAATGAGTTCCGCTATAGCTACAACATGCGTGTACGTATACATCTAAAAACCTGACTAACATAGCTCACACGTGCCTCCAGTGGCATTCGAAATTTCAGTTTAGTAAAATAATCGGCGTTTAAGATTTCTCTAGACGATCTTGAATTTTACCAGAATAGACCTTTATCGTATTGTTTGTTCCGTTGAGACGTTCCGTTATTTCCCCCCCCCCCCCCCCCGCTTTTACATAACTTGCATCACGTGACACCCGACATTTGTTTTTAACGGCGCAAGATTCAATCCCTTAAAAGTTTCTCAGACGCAGGAATATCTCAAAGAACGGGATATATGTGTTAGTAACATTAACAAACCGAAACTAGTCAAGTTGTTGAGGCCGTGGATAAACTGAATTTACCGTTGGATCCAGATATGAGAACAAATGAATCAGTAACCAGTATAAATCAAAATTTAGAACAAGTGTATGGGTTTAGTGATCCCTTTAGCCTGGACGGGTATACGTCAGGCATGTCGTACCTTCCAAGCCCAGGGGCGGATCCAGGATTTTGGAAAGTGGGGGCGAAGTATGTAAACTTTTTTTGGACCTTTTTTTGGTTAAAAAACATAAAATAAGTGTAAACGATGCACTTTTTTAATGGTTCCTGACGTGGGGCATGTATATTTTATAGTTAAAGTGTAAGTGTTGGACATTATGATGCTGTATTCTCCCCGTAAATTGTCGATTATAAAATGATTGGATGGATCCAAAGCTATGTACTAATATATTTGATGTGGGACTAGTAAGTAAAAAATGGACATGGAAAATTTTCGTCTGTTGTATTTTTTAGTTAGCGTAACCTCACAGATGTCTTGTTGTTAACAAGATATACGCCGGACTATTATATGAAATTTACAATACGACCGACACGAGTTAAGAAAGACAAACAGCAATTTGTATTCAAATTTATGGTTGAAATGTTTCAACCAACCAAAGGGTACGAATTAGTCTGAAATGACAACGAATTTATGAATGACGATCGACAAATGGAGTCATAAAGGCCACACCCAGCAGGCAGGTTGCAGTCGGGCCTTGAAAAAAGTATTCAATATATCAGTTCGGCGAAACAGACATTCCGGTCAGATATGGGATTTACATGTAACCCCGGCCCCAAATAAATTATGCCCGTTTTTTATTCATCATGTTCATTTAATGCTAAATAATTTTGTTGGAAATTTTTGTTTCTAAAAGCAAAAAAGTGGACAAGATTATTGTTTGTGTGGGGTTAAACATGCTTTCGTAGGTAAATAATATTGCTGTATACTTTTTTTCCTGAGAGTGTAATATAGAGTATTGCTTTCTGTTTGGTGGAATTGTGAAATAGAAGTCAATACGTCCTTGCTCAATCCTTTGTCGCTTTGAAGGTGCCATGCTGGTCATCCTCATCCTAAGCAATGTGTTACTGTAATTTGAATTTCACAATGACTGAGTGATGTTTTTTTCGACGCACTGGTCAACTCCATCGTAGCAAATCACATGACTTTTACATTATCAATAATATATTACAGTAAATACGAGAGAAAAATATCTTTATAAGTAAAGAATTGTTGCATGAAAATTAAATACACGGGAAATGGCAAAGTTCACGAAGTCTAGTCTGAATAACAGTCATTTTACAAAAAAAAAAGTGCAAGCAAAGGGGGGCCGTACGCCCTCTACGCCCCCCTCTGGATCCGCCACTGCTGAAGCTTAAGCTTGTATGACCTTTTCAACTACGTGATTCATAGTACTGCTAGCTATGACCGACGAAAGCTAAATGCCTAAAAATCTAGTGAGGACTATAGACTTTATTTTGATCGTTATGTAGAGCTGTTGCAATATACAGAAGTGTCAAGTTGGAACATCTGTGTTTTCAAGTCCAAAGTCAAACCTACACAGAAAGATAAAACATATTTGAAACAAGACAACATATGGTGTGTGGGTCATCATGGACAAGAAAAAGGAGAGTTTAAAACTGCCTACTGTACATGCATTGGCGGGTAACTATATACAGTTATGAGAAAACTATATTAAATTCTTAAGCATTCGTTCCCGAACCTGATCTTTTGAAAAAAGTTGACAACTTTATATTGATTATTGTTCATCTCTAATTAATGATTGACTATAGCATGTTTAGGGTTTAAACAGAAAAAAAAATGACAAATGTTCATGCAACTACAGACAAACCTATGTAGCTACAGACAAACCTATGCACCTTGAATATTTTATGACATGGTCACTGACTACATGTACTTTCTATTTCAAGCAATACACTGATTCCATAAGAGGGAAATATTATAAATTCTTTCCAACTTTTTATTTGTGCACATTTTGTGGGAGCCAAAAAAGAAAATGAATAGCAACTGCTATGAAATTACAACGATAATATTTGGAAATCTCTTGGCTCTCTAGGCTAAACTTTAACTCTTAATTATTGCAAAGTGACATCATCACTAGTTTGGAGAAGCTGGACTTTCCTAGTGCTAGACTATTAATTAAGGAAACAAGAAATCACAAAACCCCCAAAAAAACCAACAAAATATTAAGACTAAAAATTACCTTTTAGATAGTTGAATACTTATAATACACAATGTACATGTATTATCTTATCAAATTCCTGGAAGCATCATTCTGTCAGACTTTTCTCTTTTATTTTAAGTATAAAAGTCCAAGTTGGGTCAACATATGTAACTGGTCAATTTTGAAGATAAGAAATTCTATCAGAACTGCAGAATTTAATAATCTTTTCAAACATATGCATGCATCTATCTTAAAATTACATCCCCCCCAAGGGTGACTGAGGAATAGAAATATGGTCACCATTGGTCTTCCTCCGACCGGCGGTAAAACCCTCGCTAAAGTGGGGCGTCCGTTTGGCTGTGCGGGATGTACAAGTTCGCAGTCACGTCCGGTCAGAATGGAGACGTTAAATCCGATGCCTCGTGTAAAGAGAGTGCCACGTTCTTTGCACGTTAAGAACCCTTGCAACAACTCTTTGAGGGGTCCGTAGGTGGCCTGTTGCAAGGCTACATTTCTGTCCCTATCCAATAAACCCTCATTTTCCCGTGGCAGTCTAAATTTCCCCGACCTTCATCCCGGATGGCCTCTATTACAGGACCTACCTATTGCATTTATTGTTAACTTGTTCTCGTCCTGAACATGCATGAAATATTTGCCACTGGACGTTAAGCAACCAACAATCAATCAATCAATCTTAATATTACAGATTGCTTAACGTCCAGTGACAAATGTTTCATGCATGTTCAGGACGAGAACAAGTTAACAATACATACAATAGGCAGGTCTTATAATAATAGAGGCCATCCGGGGTGATGGTCGGAGACATTTGGACTGCCACTGGAAAATGAGGGAACAGTGGATAAGGACAGAAATGTTGCCTTGCAACAGGTCACCTACGGACCCCTCAAGGAGTTGTTGCAAGGGTTCTTAACGTGCACTCTCTTTACACAAGACATCGGATTTAACGTCCCCATTCTGACCAGACGTGGCTGCAAACTTGATACATCCCGCACAGCCAAACAGACGCCCAACTTTAGCAAGCGTTTTACTGACGGTCGGAAAGACCGAATGACCATATTTCTATTCCCCTGTCACCCTTGGGGGGGAGGGGGGGCTGTGTAGAAGAAGTTTCAAACTTAATTTCCATCAAATGTTGTATTTCTGTTCGTCCGTTAAGTCCGTAATTAATAACTTTAATAACGAAAAGACTTGCTCGTTGTCAGACTGTTTACTCACAGTGTGTATACTCTAAGTGAGTTCCATATCTTTCCAATGAAGTCATATATGTACCCGCAATTCATCAGTCGGCCATATTGTGAGGCAAACCAAGCGAAGATACTCAGATAAACGAAATCAATATTTTAAACGGCTTTTAATCCTATTTGAAAACAAACTGTAACTATGGTTCATACCCGTGTTGTGTGGGCCTGAACGAATCGGGCGAGCTGAGAGTCGGATGCTGTTGCTTTCACGGATAAATCGTGCGATTTCAACCCGGACCTTAGGAAGAAACATGGTAAAGTAAGCTTGATTCATTTTATATCAGGTAAGGTTAACATTTTTCTTACCTTTTGTTTGGTTTTAGTGAATGAAATACATTTTTATAACGGAACAGACAGGTGCATTGCTGGAGTACAGGTAAACACAAGTATTATGTTTACATTCTTATTAAAGATTAGTCAACATTGTACAACAACGATAATAAATTATCATGAGCTAAACTTAACGGACATAGACATACATGGATATAAATGGAAATAGAGATGGCCATTTGACAATTTGTACACATTATTTTTTGTCTGTTTGTCTTTTTTATTTTTTAACCATGGCGTTGTCAGTTTATTTTCGATTTATGAGTTTGACTGTCCCTCTGGTGTCTTTCGTTTCACTGTTCTATAGTATGGATTGTAGATAAAATATACTGTTATATAGAAAAGGAAAGTTAAAAATAATAAAGCCGATATAGCCAAGTTTGCTAAGCAATAAATATATACATAGATGTGTAAAATATTATCACAACAGAGTAAGATTATAACATTAACGTTCTGAACTGCAAAGACTGACCTCCGAGACCCTGCAAATTCGAAGATGTTGACGATTTTCAAAGTAGCCCTTACCAATCAATTCAAGATCATGTAGAAACTTTTGATGCTAAATATCTGGTCAGAATGGGGACGTTTAATCCGGTGCCCCGCTCTTTGCACGTTAAGTACCAGTCAATTCATGTCACCCTCTTTTGCTGGATTCCAATATTTACCTGGCACATTGTAAATAGCTTTTGGTTCAGTTTTATTTTATTTAGCGAAAATTACATTACTAGTAATGGTTTATTCAGAAACAGGTATAAATGTGATCAACTTAATTTGGCATTGTTTCCATAGAAACTAAACAATACTATTCAAATTATCTCCCTTTATATTAATTTCATATCCCCAGTTAAAATTCGTATTAATTTCAGTTCCCCCAGTCCAAATTCGTAAGTATTCTATACCCTCTGCACACATTCATATTTATTTAACTATACTTTTGGGTGGGTTAATTATTCTTATTCGCATTATTCGAATACCAGGTTTACTGATACACTTAATGTTCCTTGTATTATTATTATACACTTGTATTGGTGACCAGCAAAAAATAAACATCTATTTCTATACAAGCTTGTCTTCTTCCAGTATTCAAAGCAGTTCCTGTTCAGTGCAGTTCCAGCACAAGTACACACAAGCTTTACAAAGTCACCCCCACTATATATTCAAATACTAGCAAGTCCAGTAACTAAGTCCAACTAAGTTGACACTTCTTTGCAATTAATCTTAGATTTAACCAAAGATACGCGTTCGATGCAATTGAGCAGGATGTTAGGAAATCCTTCTATGAGAAAAAGATATTTCAATGTGACAGAAATATGTTAAGACTATATGAAGAAAGCGCAAGAACTGTTTGTCGCATCTTAAGCTAATCAGGATATTACGGACCAATAATCTGTAGAGATAAGAGCTGAACAATTCAAAAACATTTACGCAATGAAATTGATTGATTGATTGATTGCTAAACGTTCAGTTGCAAATATTTTTTGCATGTTGAGGACGAGAACAAGTTCCCAAGTCACCCATGAGGGACGAAATGAAATCGAACTTAAAGCGAGCGCAATATATGCCGCCATACTAAGAGCTAAACAGGAAACTTGGGAGACCAGTAAAGTAATTCTCTAGTCAGTAAAATGTGAGTCATAGCCAGATACCCATTTAACTGTGAGGGATGTATAAATACACAGTCACGTCCAGTCAAATTAAGAAAAAGCTCTCTGATGTCAAAACAGCTAAAATTTATTACTTGAATACTCGGTCAAGACACTCGCGAGTACTCGGATGAAACTTGCAGGGGTAAATATGTAATGCATTCCATAAATTCAGGACGAGATCAAATTAATGTAAAATGTAGGAACTGTCCGGAATGAAGTTTGGGGAAATTAGGACGGCAACTGGAAAATGATGGTATTTTGGAATACAATATTTATTCAGATAAATCAACATTAAACGATCTTATACAAATGAAATAATATTAAGGATTCAGAAACAAGCAATTTGCTTTTACAAATCTGTTTCCTTTTACAAAAATAATAAACTATTGAACAATACATGAATATAAATACTGTCATGCTCTGTAACAAATATATGAATATGAAAAAGGTGGAAGAAGAAGAAAAAAAATAATGAGAAAAAAATTTATAAAAATAAATAAATAAACATTAATTATTGTAATGTATACAGACAGTGTGAAATGCTTGAGTTCCTATTAAGTGATGAAGGATTAACATCAAGGGTTAAAACGTTTACTTTTAATAATATATTTTTGCACCAAACTAAACAAAAGACTCTTTTGCTCATCTGAGAGTACCGTTGATCCAAAAAAGCAAAGTTTTTGTGTTAACTTGGACAGGAAGAACTGAAGCAGAATCTAATAGTTCATGTCTTTAATCAGTGTATATGGGACAAGATAACAGGAAGTGAGAATTTGTTTCTACATCACCACAACGACATCCATTCTTAAGCGAGCATGAAGAATTTGACCAAAACGATGTCCTATATAACAATACGCTGGGGCCTTACTATTTTGGGTACCAATTTGTTTTTTGAATAATGATAGAGATTCACATTTTCTTATGTTTAAGTTAAGAGTGTTCCATAGTTTTGTTGTTGCTGGGATGAAATATTCAGAATATAAACGGGTCCGTGTGTTGACTTGTGTAATTTTTTTTTTGTCTTATATTATGATCATGCCTGCTGCCTACTGAATCGGGCAATAAGTCTCATATACTCTGGAGTTTTATTATTCAAAATTTTGTGATAATGATTTAGTCTATGATTATTGCGTCGTCTTTCAGATAATTTTTCCCATCGAGTTTCAACATATAACTTGTTCATACTGGTAAGATTAGTACCCCCGTGACGATACGCGCTGCGTGAATATTTTCAAGTTTAGCAATCAAATTCTGATTTTGAGAGTCCCAAACGACATCGGCATATTCAAGAATTGGGCGAACAAATGTTATGTAAAGTTTTTCAAGTGTTAACCTATCAAGAACATTTTTTCATTTTTCTCATTATATTTATTCTTTTGTAAGATTTAGAAACTATATATTCAACATGGTCGTTCCAGGATCCGTTGTTAGAAAAAAAAAGACCCCTAGATGTTTGTGTTTACTTACTGTTTGTAGCTCTTGGGTATTCACATTTAATGGAGGATGAAAGGTAAAATTGAGAATGGAAATGGGGAATGTGTCAAAGAGACAACAACCCGACCATAGAGCAGACAACAGCCGAAGGCCACCAATGGGTCTTCAATGCAGCGAGAAACTCCCGCACCCGGAGGCGTCCTTCAGCTGGCCCCTAAACAAATAAGTATACTAGTTCAGTGATAATGGACGTCATACTAAACTCCAAATTATACACAGGAAACTAAAATTAAAAATGATACAAGACTAACAAAGGCCAGAGGCTCCCGACTTGGGACAGGCCCAAAAATGCGGCGGGGTTAAACATGTTTTTGAGATCTCAACCCTCCCCCTATACCTCTAGCCAATGTAGGGTCTATTTTTTTTTTTAAATTATCATACATTTTTTGGGCATTTAAATTCACAAGCCATTTTTTTTTAACAATTATTAATCTTATCTAGATCGTTATTTAAAATTGTAGCTGTTTTTGTTGCTTTAATATGGTCATGGAGAAACTTTTATTCAATGTTGAAATTGCAACCCTATTTTTCATAAAAAAAAATTTGAAACTGTATACATGTGTCTAAATTACCAGACAAATTCATTATAAAATCGAGCAACTGCAAAAACAACATATGCTCAAAGGAAAACAACTTAGATAAACCACACTAAAAACATAAATTAAATTCAGGTATTCTAAAAGGGTGAGCAGTCTGTGCTATATATTATACTTGTATGCCTCCAAGATATTGTGTATATAAAAAAGATGTGGTATGATTGCCACTGAAACAACTTTCCACAAGAGACCAAATAGCACAGAAATTAACAACTATAGGTCACCGTACGCCCTTCAACGATGAGCAAAGCCCATACCTCATAGTCAGCTATAAAAAGTCCGAAATATGTATGGCTACTATGCTCAAACAACAATGTATGGTCAGATATTAGGTCTCCAATTTACAAAACAAATTTATTCTCAAAATGGACTATTCAGTACCCAGTTTAAGTTATAGTCCTCGATTTGACAAGTTTAGCTTCAGTTTGCTACTATCTTGAAAACAAAAAAGGAGATCGATGAGCATTCAAATAGTATAAATAATAAGAATGACAGGCTTCAAAAGTTTGGGCTTGTAAAGTTTAAAAAATTTCTAGTTAATGCATTTTTCAATTCTTATTGGCATGCTTCTGTTGGCTAGTGCTTGTTCAACATGCCTATCATGAAAGTGATTTTCACATGTTATGCTTTTCATATTTCAGCAAGAAACTCTCACATCACACAGATTTCTGCAACATCAGACAAAGGTTCCATCAACACATATGTACTTCCAAAGAAACCAATAACACCTAAGGCACAGGAAATAACAGGGATCAAAGTTGAAGGAAGCAAGATGTTTTGCCATGACAAGGAAGTGAAATCTGTGTGCATCAAAGAAGCTTTAACGATCTTTCTACAATTTTTAGCGCAGTACAAGGAAAACGTCATTATTGGCCATAACATCAAATCATACGACATATCAGTGCTATTTAGTGCTTTAAATAATTGTTCAATTATGAATGAATTTTCATGTTCCATTCTTGGATTTTTAGACACGCTATAATTATTCAAATCTTTATTACCTTGATTAACCTCATATTCACAATCAAATTTGTACAATACAGTATTAAATGAAACATATGACGGTCATGATTCGATGGAGGATGTTGTTGCTTTGAGTCGTCTTTTCCATCACTTGGCTCCATCAACAGAAGCAAAACAATTGTCATCTTTTTCCTTTGATTCAGCTGCAAGGAGATATGACCACAACCAGAAAACGAAACTACGTCTCCCTACTTTGACACCTCTTACAGAGAAGAAAGTAATTACACCAAGAACTGCAAATGTAATAGCAGCAAGTGGCATGTTCTTTTCTCATTTACGCATTTTATTTATGAGAGATGGCCGCCAAGGAATAGAAGATGTTCTGAAAGAGGAGGATGTAAATGGAAAAGTGCGTGTCACCAAATCAAAGAAGATAGTGGATGCCATATCTGACTTTTTCAAAAGTTTAAAACCAGAAGCTTGATATACTTGAGCATGTACCTTTGATATTTTTATACCCCAATTTAGAACTACATTCCAATCTTGATTGACTTTTACTGTTTAGGTCTCTTTCTCATATACTGAACATGGTATTCCCTATTTTTAGAAAGTTAAAGTTACCTCCCGTTTACAAGAAACATGAAAAAAAACAAATGTGGGTTAATAGCAAGAAGACATCACCAATTCAATTTGTATTTTGTATTGAACAGATAAGGCTAAAATTACTCTTTAATTTTCCATTTATGGGCATTATGTTTTCTGGTCCGTCTGTCCCGCTTCAGGTTAAAGTTTTTTGGTCAAGGTAGTTTTTGATGAAGTTGAAGTCCAATCAACTTCAAACTGAGTACACATGTTCCCTATGATATGATCTTTCCAATTTTAATGCCAAATTAAAGAGTTTTAACCCCAATTTCAAGTTCCACTGAACACAGAAAATGATAGTGCGAGTAGGGCTTCCATGTACTATGGACACATTCTTGTTTCTCTTTAATTTGAGTGGCCTATGGTTATTTGTGCAAATTAAAACATGTGGAATTAATTCACGCAACACAATAAGTTTGCCCTATTTCATGATGCTATGTGTAATGAAAAAATACAGAAACACAGTAGTTAGTAAAAAAATCCTTCTAAGAAGAGCAGATAACTTTGCAAATGGGAGATAAATCTTGTTTATCGAAAGTACTAAGGGAATGTCAATGAATAGTGGCTTCAGTTCTCTGCAAGTTTAGATGGAAATCTTATTGCATCAAGACCTTGCATGGGATTGATATAATAATCAGAAAGATCTGAATTTGCTGACCATTTCTTTCGGATTGGGGCTTTTAAGAAAATTCTTGTGTATATGGGAGAGTGCTCACTATATTTGAGGTTATTTCATATTTAAAATTTATCATAAATGTCTAAGGATTATGGTCTTCAGAGGATAAATTTGTTTTGTTAAAAAACTAATTGGCATGTCAAATAATGTTCAGGTATTTTTTTCTTATTGAGTATGGTTATTTTTCTATCCATTTATTATCTGAAGCATGCAATTCTGATCTAAGCAAAATTGGAAAGTCATCTATTGATATTTTGGAAATTCTTTATATCAAATTGATCATAGGGACGGTATTGAGCTACAATTTATGTGATAATTAAAAAATAGCTATTACAAATGATTTCGAAATAAAAAAAAGGGGGGAATGAATGTTGAGTATTATCATGGTATTACCAACTGCTGCACTTGTCAATATTTACATTGTAAAGGGAACTTTGGTATCTGAATGGTGCATTGATTGACTTAACCCCCTTTTAATTTCAAGGTATAGTTTAAATTATACCATATTATGGTATGCATGTTAAGTTTGTTAATTTTTCCAGTTATGATAAGGGTTAAATTTTAACAAAATTCTGGACTTTTGAACTTGGCTATTTTCCGGCAAATTACTGTGAGGGTCAACATATGACTGTGTGTTACAGATTGAAAAAAAATGAAAAAAGTTGGAAAAGACTGTTTACTATCTTACATCACATGACCATTTGCTGTATAATGGCATGTTTTAATCCTTGTTTATGAAGTTTTTAAAGTAAAATGAGGCAATATTACGTTTGGAATTGAACAAAATATGGTCAAAATCACAGTTTTTTAAAAATTCAAATTCAGTTTATTTTCTAATTCCAACATGGATTCTTTCTTTTATCAATTTTTAAGATCATTATACCTTTCTTTTTAACTTTCAATTCTTGAAATAAGGTTTAAATTACAATTTCCTAATTTTTACGCACTAAAAGGTTGTAAAAAGTGTGGATTTTTGGGTAAAATCCAGTTTTTGAAAATTCAAATCAAGCTATAAATTTTCTAATTCCAACATGGATTTTTTTTTGTATCAGTTTTTAAGATCATTAGACCTTCCTTTTTAACTATTAACTTTTGAATTGAGGTTCTGATTACAATTTCCTATTTTTTACGCCTTAACTGTCATTCTACGAGAAAACCAGGCAAATTGAAGGAATATCAATTCCTGGGGTATTTTATTTTATCTCGAAACATATAAAAAACTGATATATATTTGTGTTTAAATAAAAAAATTAAAAAAAAAAAATCTAAATATCGACCTAATTTTTTTCATTGGGTGGTCGAGTATAACCATCATATTTGGTCCATTTCTGATTACTGAATTTAGTCCTTTTAGAACCCCCAAAAATACCTTTTAGGCTTTAATATTGGATTTAAAAAGTATACAACTACATCAAGTGTCTTCAGATTGATGCAAAAAATAAAATTTCTCTCTCATAGTAAAACCCTCCCTCCCTTGAAAGCAGGTCAAATAGAGCAAGTCACATGACCTTTGACATTGTGAGGTTTTTTTTAAATTAAGACAAAACAATACAGGACGCTTATTTTTCTCTAATTTTGAATGAAATATAAAATATAGTTGTTATATGAATTATTTATAATTTTTCTCTCTTGGGTTTTCAGTGTAAATATATTTTTTTGGTGAACAAAATAACCAAATTTTCAACAGTTTCCTCACCAGTATTTTTACTGATTACCTCCCCTTTGAAACCTTTCTTGTCACAATCAAAATAGGTGATTATTAAAGAAAGACAACTCTTACTTCCAACCTTTCACGAGTATTGTTAACCATTACACATCTTCAAGAGTAACATTTTTTATCCATTCCAGTATACTCAATTGTAAAATACAACAAATATAATAGGCTCAAGATTTTAGATAAACACTATGAGCAGGACTCAATACTATTATATCAAATCAACTTATTAAATGATCAGATCAGTGAATTAAATAAATTTCAAAAACAAACTTCACCTGATTTCAGTAAGGATCTATGCAGAAACCCACGGCACACTACATGTAGAGGACAAGAACGATATACAAAACTTGATTATAACTTTGAATTATATCAAGACGGAATACATCCCCGCTACATAATAAATAAAGTGTGGTTACACAAGTTATCACTTCAAATACAATATGACTGCTGGTTTCCACTTGAATGAATCTGGTTAGTATGGATGTCGCCACGCTACACCAAACTTTAACCGCTGACACTCTTTCCGGCTTGCCCTTGCAAATAGTGCACAAACTATCTTGAGTACATACAAATATATATTAATAGACTAACTTACTTAGGAATAGGATTCTAACCTACTAGCACTGTATACCAAACGAAGTATTGACTGGTAAGTGTGGGAGTTACCACGCTAAACCATATTTTATCTGCTTGTTGACAACTTTATCTATATTTAAATCTGGACCGTCAAGTACTGTTACGACTTTATATATTATAGCAATATTGCAGTGATATCTTTGGTAAGTGTGGGAGTTACCACGCTATACCATATTTGATGCCTGAATTGAAAAACTACTGCCTACCTCTGTTTACAACTTTATTTATATTCAAGTCAAATTTAATAAAATATTTTCAAAAAACTGCGCCTACGGAAACTATTGGATATCTCTGGTAAGTGTGGGAGTTACCACGCTACACCATACTTTACTACCTGAAATCTAAATCTGTACCGCCTAGCTCTGTCAAACTTAAGTCAAATTTAAACATAAAAATTATACTTAAATCTTGGATATCTCTGGTAAGTGTGGGAGTTACCACGCTATACCATATTTTACTGTCCAAATTGTAAACCGAAAATCTGTACTGCCTAGCTCTATCACAACTTTATTTACACTTAAACCTGGTGGATATATCTGGTACGTTTTGGGAGTTACCACGCTATACATACCATACGTTACAGCTGAAATCAAAAATCTGTACCGCCTAGCCCTGTTACAACTTTATTTATATTAAACTTGGTGGATATCCTTGGTAAGTGTGGGAGTTACCACGCTATACCATACTTTATAGCTGAAATAAAAAAAAAAGATAAAAAAATAAAATCTAGCTCTGTTACAACCTTATTTATACTGAAACTAATTAGATAACTGGTAAGTGTGGGAGTTACCACGCTATACCATACTTTACAACTGAACTAAAAAAATCTGTATCACTTAGCTCTGTTACAATTTTATTTATACTGAAACTAACTGGATAACTGGTAAGTGAGGGAGTTTCCACGCTGTACCACAACTGAATTAAAAAAAAAACCTGTACAGCCTAGCTCTCTTACAACTTTATTTATACTGAAACTTATTGGATAGCTGGTAAGTGTGGGAGTTACCACGCTATACCACACCTTACTACCTAAACCTAAAATCTGTATCGCCTAGCTCTGTCAAACTGAAACTTAAAATTTGTACTTAAACTCGGTGGATATCTCTGGTAAGTGTGGGAGTTACCACGCTATACCATACTTTATTGATTGAACAATTTCACCTAGATCTGTCAAAACCAAAGTTGTTGTTACTGAAATTTGGTGGCTCATCATAAGTCTCGCCATGTCGGACCCATTAACAGCATTGAGGCCAAGAAGGGATCGTATCCCAACTCAGGTTTTCACCCCATCAAAAGTTAACACCAGTGCAAAAAATTATATTTTAAATGAACAAAAAGCCCTGGATAAAATAGCTAACACTACTCTCAGACCAACCGATGTCAAAGTTCAATACAAAAAGGGAAACATTATATTAGAATTCACAGCAGCTGCATTCCTGCATTTCAGCAAAACTTTAGCCGAACACTTTTATTCACACCCAGATGTCACAGTTGAATCGCATGACATACATGATGCTAGATTAAAAGTTGTTGAACAGTCCTTTTCAATAAAAAACCAACAAAATCAAAGGCAAATCTACAGAATAAATCTCTATAATACAACATGTAGAGCTGAAATAAATGGGCGCAACCATCAACAGTTCTTTAGTGAACTTCAAACCATAGCTACAAAAATGGACGTTATAAAAGACTACTCATCCATGAATGAAACGATAAGAAATGAATGCTTGAAACATTGTAAAGCATCACCACTACATGAACCAAACAACATGCAGATTAGTGACAAAAGCATTAAAACCAAAGCTAGACCAAG